ATATAGTGCGTTTATTGTGGATTACCAAACACTCAAAGCATTTTACAGTCATTAGGGGATCGCCTTGCCAACACCAGTCTGCAGCATCCACTGATGTTGCAAAAGGATGATAAATGAAACTGTTACAGTGTTTATGCACTGTGGCATAAGAAAGCCGTGTGAAAGTGGCAATAACCTAAAGCACACAACTAGTATACCAACAGGATGCAAACTGCAACAACCAACAGCTGCATGTATATGTAAGCAGCCATTTCCACCAGAATCAGAGCAGGCTAAATCTAGTGATTTAGAGCGATTGCCTACACTTTCAGGAAGATTATCGCGACATATATATGGGCCATATTTTGTTGTGGGAAACAAAGATGCTAAAACTGCTTGAGCCACGCTATAAAATACCCCCTACGCACATACTTCAGCATGAAGATACAGCATGAAAAACTAAATCGTTGCAGACTTATCAGATGCATCCTATAGCAATCACCACAGATGGGTGGACAACAAGAGCTACAGAAAGCATGTAATCAGTGACTGCTCACTACAGAGCGGGGTGGGAAATGCGAAGTCCAGTGCTACAGACACACCCCTCCATAATATTCACACAAGCACAAATCTACAGCAAATACTGACAGAAACATAAGCTGAGTGGCACGAGGCACAATGCATGTAGCAATATACCAGTCACCAAAGATAATGTCAAAAACTGAGTATATGCAGTGACAGAGTCTGGACTGGGGCCACAGATATTTTGCTTTGCCCATGTTATAAATGTAGCATGCCAAAGTGGAATCTCAGTGAAACAGATAGATCGTCTTCTTGGAAGGATCAGGAAGGTACAACCGCAGCTCATGTGCTTAAGACCAAGAAAGAAATGCTACAGAATTCAACCCACAGGCTCATATATGATGTTACAACAAGATGTAACTCCACGTGACATGTTGGAGCACTATCTAGAGCAGGGGTGTCAAACTCAATTCCTGGCGGGCCGAAGACCTGCACAGTTTAGTTCCAACCCTGCTCCAACACACTTACCTGTAGGTTTAAACAAGCCTGAAGGACTCAATTAGTTTGATCAGGTGTGTTTAATTAGGGTTGGAACTAAACTGTGCAGAGCTGCGGCCCTTTTGGAACTGAGTTTGACACCTGTGATCTAGAGCAACAGGCAGCAGTATACTCTGCACTGACAGAAAAAACACTGAAAAAAACATAAGGGACATTCCCACTTTGTCTGATGTAAACGTAGTAGAGGAGGTCCTCAAGGGGCTTAAACTTCTCAAAACCCTATTGAGCACTGAAAATTTACCACCTTTGTCTATGTTCTGAAAACCAGAATTCTACAATCACAAATCAGAAAAAGTTGGGACACTATGGGGAAAAAAGGGAAGTGATTTAGTGATTTTTAAATTTACTTTGACTTGTATTTCATTGTATTCTTCATGATTTTCATAATTTTGTTTTTCAAAATAAACATTCCATTTTGAAACATATTTCAAAAAAAGTTGCAACAGTAAAGCATTTACCACGCTGTAATGTTGCCATTCCTTTTCACAACACTTAAAAAACCATTAGGGACTAAAGACACCCAGTGATGAAGTGTTTCATTTTGTCCCATTCTTCCTGCAAACAAGTCTTTAGGTGGGCAACAATATGAGAACTTTTTTGCACTTTAAATTGCTTCAAACCACATTCTCTATTGGAGACATGTCGGGACTGCAGGCAGGTCAGTCAAGTACTTGTATCCTCTTGCTCTGCAGCCAGGAATTGTGTATAGATGTGTGTAAAATGTGGTTTTGCATTGTCTTGTTGAAATATGCATAGGCGTCCCTGGAGAAGAAGCCAGCATGTTGTGCTCCAAAATCTTTATGTACTTTTCAGCATTAATGGTGCCATCACAGTGCAAGTTATCAAGGCTACTAACACAACCCCATACAATGACAGACCCTGGCTTTTGGACTTCTAACAGTCTTGGTTATCCTTTTCGTCTTTGGTCCAGAGCACGCATCATCCATTTCTTTCCAAAAGTACCTGAATTACTAATTTATTTGACCCCAGAACACAATTTCACTGTGTGATGGGCCATCCCAGATGCCTCCGAGTCCAGAGAAGTTGACACTGGACACTGTTAACATAGGGCTTCCTCTTGGAACAGTACAGTTTTCACTGGCATTTATGGATGTAACTACATATTGTGGTACTTGAAAAAGGTTTGCCAACGTAGTCCTGAGCCCATGGGGCGATATTGCATATAGATGAATGGAGATTCTTGATGCAGTGCCGCCTGAGGGATTGGAGACCACAGTTTTTCATCTTAGGCTTGCGCCCTTATCCTCTACGCACTGAAATTCCTCCAGATTTCTTGAATCTTTTAATTTCTTTGGGTAATATTGTTCTTAAACATTTAATAATTTTCTGACATAATTGTTGACAAACTGGCGATCCTCAGTCTAGGTCTCAAGGACTAGATAGATTCCTGGATACTGCTTTTGAACCAAATCATAGTTACAATCACCTGTTGACATCACCTTTTTCCAATCACATCAATATTTAACCATTTTACCTGATGGCTTGGAATAAATTGCAACTAAAAAAAATTTTCCAACTTGTTTTAAAATGTGTTGCAAGAACCAAAATTGGACTACGTGTTTATTTATTATTACACCAGCTTTGCTAAAGGTATCCAACCCTGCCCTACGTGAGATGACATACAGTAATCTCACCACTGTGATTGTGGCTGTTGAAGAGGTAAAATTGCAATACTTTTTTTTCATGTGAACACTTGTTCTTTCTTTTGAATAATATTTTCATATTAACATTTACAATTATGTGTGTTATAATTATGTCATTTTTTCTGCAGGCTCAAGCTACAAAGACAACGCCTACTGGAGCAGACACAGAGCCAAAGGCATCTCCTCCACAAAAGAAGTCAGCAATGGAAAAGATTTTTGGCAATACATTTGTAAAGAAGTCATACACAGACAAGACCTGACACAGGGCAGCAAGCAGTACGTCAATGGACGGTGTTAATCTAGTGGCATGGTGGAAACACAATGAGTATAAATTCCCTCACATTGCAAAGATGGCAAGACATTACCCTGCTGTGCCTGCCACTTCAGTTCCGAGTGAGAGGTTGTTCTCCACTGCAGGTGACATAGTGAGTGCTAAGAGGTCTACTCTCCCAAGAGAATGTAGACGTCACTATTCGTTCATTTTTCTTTGGCTTAGCCTGTTATTAATAAGGGGTCACCACATCGGAATGAACCACCAACTACTCGGGCATATGTTTTTCACAGTGGATGCTCTTCCGGCCAGTGCTGAGAAAAACCCATACACTTTCGCTATCACACATGCACACATACATCAAGGCCAATTTTGTTTATCCAATTCACCTAAACCTCATGTCTTTGGACTATGGGGAAACAGGAGCACCCAGAGGAAACCCACACAAGCACAAAGACATGTAAATAAGCAATGAGCCACCATGCCGCCCCTAGACATCGTCCTCAATGAAAATAAATGTCATTGTAAGATTTGGTCTATTTTCAAGTCTCAGTTTTCTCTGCCTATAATACCTCGTTCATTAACTTTGTAAAAGCCTTTGACATCACGCATGACCCTGGAAGATTCTACCACATATTGCATTTTGAAGAATCTGGTCAATGTCATCCAGTTACTATACAAGAGCTTTGAATGTTGTGTCATCCACAATAGTGATCTGACAGAACTCTTTCTAGTGGGCACTGGAGAGAGCAAGGGTGCCCTATACTTAGCCATTGACCGGCTTATTCTCTTCTGGCTGAACAACATCTCCAATGATGAAATGACAACCAAAATAAACATGGCAAAAACAGTTGACAAAGGGTTGAAAAGCAAAGGGCTTACTTTCTAAATTGCCCTGCGGATATTGGTAGACCGAACAAAATGGAGGACCCTTCCTGATGCCTCATGCAGCAGATAGTGCAGAGAGGATTAACTTAAGTATTACATTTCGAAATGCATTATAAATAAATGATAGGCAATTCATGTAACATCATGAACAAAAAGTGCTTTTGTCTAATTCTTGACAAATAGTAAGGAATTTAATAATGTATATAATTTAATTATGCAGGTACACTGTGACATTTTTGTAAATGTTTACTAAGACATCGAGATTCACATTTGAAAGTTAATCAAAGTCTGCAAGAAAGAAAATAATTGTGCAAATGGTAACTCAAAGCAAAAGCACAGCCTGTTAAAATTAAATTTAAGACAGCCGATTTTAGTTACTTTGTTTGTTAAATTTTGTTAGTTTAAGTTAATGTATAACTGACTAAAATGATACATAATGACGGTGCAAGAAAGCAATCATAAATAAATAAATAATATGTGGCCATCAGGAGTGTGAGAGACATCGTAGTGTGCCAACACTGGGTGCTGAAATTCACAGATAACACACACTGACACACACACACACGTAACCTGAAATTACAAAATGATCCCTGACAGTTGTCCTGGCAACCCTAAAGGATTCTATTTTAATGAGTCCTGTAGATTTTGCCTGTTTAAAAGTGATTTATTTTTGCTTATGCGTATGAACAGAATACAGCCAGAAAATCATGGATACTGTCTTATCAATTTATTTAATATATAATATATTATTTCTAACAAACGTTAACATTATATATATATAAATTATATATATATATATATATATATATATATATATATATATATATATATATATATATATATATTCAGTTTATGCAATGCAACATTAATGTTTGCATTATTGTGCATCATTATATCCTGCTACGAAATCAACAGAACTCTCAGATACTATACAATTATTTCTAGACCTATAAAATACTGTTTTTTGTTTCTATAACTGCTAAATTAAGTAAAGCAGTTGTTAATACTAAAATGATGGATAAATTTGCACACTGTGTTTACATCAAACATTAGGCTAAGTGCAAGATGTACAAAGATGAAAATAAAACCCATAATGATTCTTTAGTAAATTACTGCACCTGATTAGTATAGTGACGCCTACATCCTCACAACTTGCATAAACACGTGCCCAGGTGTCCTTAATGATGCCCCGCTCCACATCCGTCAGAGGCTCTGGTCTCTCCCTCCCCTCCGTCTCTTCATCCTCCCTCTCTTTCTCCATGCCACAGACACACCACGGGGTACTTGCTCCTGATGCGGGAACAGATGGTGAAATGAGAGGCTGTGGTGGTGGGGAAGACTGACGAAGTTGGCGGAGGGGGCAACAGAAATCCAGGGCAAGAGAGTAGAGAGTGTGCATCCGCCCCCCTCTCACTCTATGCCCCTCACTCCCTGGTGCAGGCAGGATGAATTCACTTCTGGCAATTTTCCGATGAATGTATCTGCTGTCTCTGTCTCTGTTGTCAATCTCATCGACACCTTTTGTGTTCCTTGTCTTACGAGCTGCTTAGGTCTCTATCTACCCTCGAACACAGATGTTGCCTGTGCTTGGAACTGCTGGATTTGTTATGACTTCAGATATGAAACGTTTGGAGGAGAGGGAGGGAGCTGGAGAGAAGAGTGACAGGGAGGGGGTATTTGGTTGAGAGGGGGAGGGAGAGCATGAAAATTCTTGCTCCCAATCAGCCCTTTCCAAGCTTTGCTTTGCCACAGATTGCAGACACATACAAATTATCAACAATTATTCAAAACCCTATGTGTATGTGTGTGTCGGGGCATGAGTTACTATTAATATGGTTATTAAAAATTAAAAGAAAATAATAATTATGTGAATTTCATTATTAAATCGATCTCAGAGCTGGTAAAGGACTATATTGTTTCAAATTCCAATTGTTCATGTGTTTTTGGTGTTTTGCTCTAAGGCAGGGAAGAGAGCAAGCAAGGGAAATGGAGAGATGAGCACAAAGAAAAATAAAATAAAATGCAGACATATAATCATGACATCTGACATTGTTCATATAGTGAGGATTATTTAAATGATTATGTGAGTACACCTTCAGTTATATTTTGTATTTTCTTAAAAAGCTCCATTTCCTAGGATAACCCACAGAAATGAATTCTACAGTACCTTTTTGTTAGGACTCAATGCTGTGTCTGAGTGTCATTGTCTGAAACATGTGCAATCTTTATAATTCTAGGCAAATGAAAAAATGTATGGTAATGCAGCATGATCAAGACCATAATAGGTATCCCATTTGTAGACTGAATAATCTATTCAGGCCCGGATTGGCTAATCGGGAGGACCGGGAGAATTCCCGGTGGGCCGGTCCGTTTTTTGGCCGCGAGGGCCGGTGTCCCTAGCTCCAAAATCTGTTGCTCTCAGCAGTCACACTTTTTAAATTAATTTATTTACTTACTTGACTACAGTCTTCTTATTTATTATTTTACCGCAGCTCTGCTCTGCCTGCAGGTTAATGATGATATCACTCAGATGAGTCAACCCTTCATATACAACAGTTGTGGTCCAGTGGTTAGCACGTTAGATTACAACGCCGCCGACCCGGGTTTGATTCTTGTCTGAGTATGTTTTTTTTTAATTATAGTTTTTTTGTTAAGACATATAATACTGTTAGGGTTTTTGAACATTTAAAGTTCTAAAGCAGCTGTTTTCTCAAAAAAAAAAAAAAAAAAAAAAAAAAGACGTGATAGTGTAATTAGAAACTGAATTGGAAATGACCTTATTTTAATATAGTCATGCGTGAACTGAGGTGGGCCGGTCTAAGGCTTGAAACTCCAGGGCTGAAAAAGAGTCCCACTCCGGCCCTGAATCTATTGACAATAATTTAAAAAATTGCAATCAAACTAATGCATTTAATTTATAAAAAATGTGAAAACAAAAAAGTCACCTTTCAGTTTTAATGTAAAAGGGGCAAGTTTCCTTAATAAATGGAGATTTCTTTTCACTGGAAAATAAATAGCATCTTATGTTAGCAAAACTAAAGTTTTAACAAAACATCAGTAAATTAAATATTTTCTATTTTTATTTTTTCATGATAGAATGTGACAATGATGGTAGTTCATTCTGCTAAGACGCCAATGGAATGCATATGAAGTTGCCAAGTAATCGCAGCTCTCACAGGTGCAGCCACTTTGCAATTAGGAGTATAAAAGGCTGCCTTGAGAGAAACTCAGACTCAGTAGTATTAAGCTGTGGTCACCCTAGAGTTTGTGTGTGCAAAATTCTGTCATACAGCTCTGCGAAAAGGGGAGTTGCGGGAATAAACAAGGTTATTAGACATTGGAGCAAGCGATTGCTCCATATTTTATATATTCCATATTTTCCAGAGGTCATGTTTTGATCCTTGATTGGTCTCACGCTGTCAAATGATGCAATTTCGCAGGTCAGAGTTCACCTAGCTTGAACTTTGCACTGCAGCAACCTGCGAAACTTGACGCATGACCTTGCGTTTCTGGTCTGACGCATTCGCTTGCGTATGAATGGAAATCTATAGGAGGAAAAGCTCAGTGTGACCGCAGCTTTAGCCTTTTGCTTCAGAACCTCACTTCTGCTACATTGACCTAGAACCATTCAATCCAATGGCCATTTTCATTAGGTATTAGAGTTTATACCTATTGGTTCTACCAAGAGGAATTCCGTTATTTGTTTTCTTACAGTCATTTGACTACAGCATGAATTTAAAACCTTACTGTACTCTGTAAAGTTTAAATTTTCAAACTGACAAGCTGTGGCATAATAATCTTCTGCTGGACGATGATCATGATATTTGTCCATCATGTTTGGGTATTCAACATTTAAAAGATGCACTCACAGACCCGTGTTTGTATTGTAGTCTCTTGATGTTGTCGCGCCTCCGCGATGGTCAGCACCCATTTTCCAGCAAAAAAGACAGCCACATCACGGAGTGCAGAAAACCCATGTCCTGAGGAGACTTCACTTTCTAGTGCTTTAGCTATTCTTTCTTCAGAGATGGAAGAAATTAAACTTTTATCCCCTCTCTGTAACCCATAAAGACAACACAAGAGGATGAAAATTATCAGAAGGAAGGAAATGTGGAGGAGTCCCTTGAATCACCTTGTCTTTCTCATTCTGAATTATGTTTTTTTCCACATGTACATGTGATCATGAGAAAAGATGTGGTTGCTACTGTGCATCCTTCACCCAAAAATACTATGACTGGGGGTTTTCAGCAGGATCTAGCAGGGGATCAGTTCAGTCATCTGAGAAAGGCCAAATACCTTCTGATGACTCACTGGCCAAGCTCCGAATGCAATTGCTTGTCTGGGGCTTAATGAGGCACATACTCAGTCTGCTCAGACTAATGTATTTTTTCCAAACAGCCCTCAACTACAGAATCCTTTGCTATGCCAGCATGTAAAGATTTTGTGACTGAATTTTTAAATGCACTCACCGGTGCTGGCCTACCTAAACGCCACTCAAAGACTGCTCGTACATTAGCATCTATGGCTGGAGCAGATGTCATAGGGGTTAGCCGTTCCCCAGAAATAGAACAGCCTGTTGCAGCCTTTGTGGTGTCTCCTGATGAAACTTCACAGGGTAATGTGTGATGTCTAAGTGTGCAATGCGTTCCCAAAGACACACTGCTGAAAAAGGCATACGAGTCTGTTCCATACATAACACGCACTGAAAACACTACTAAGACACTGGAACCAGCAAATGCTTACCCCTCTGTTTCAAAGTTCCTTGAAACAGCTCTTTTAGCAATGGGTCACACGACACACGAATTGACTGTACCCTTACAACCACGCTCTTAGCAGCCCGCCACCAGGTTTTAAAACCTTTAGAGACCTTCCCTTAGTTGCTGGCCATTTCTTTGAACCCACAGTTTCTAAATTGGTGGAAAAGACGGTAAAACTGTCAGACCACTCGCTGGCTGACACAGATTTAGCTCAACTCTACTTTCATGCTGGCCTACTGGAGAGACAAAACATCAGACCCCTCGGTTTTAAAGACACTGAGCAGTGGGTACGCTTTTAAATTTCGATGTCGGCCCTCCAAATTTACAAAGATTATCCCAACGATAATCAGTGTAATATCTGGTTAAAAAAATGGCAGTTTATGACCAATTCTCTATTTGAAAAGTCTGAATACGTCTCTGAAGGTTCTGCCCTTTCACATGCTGCGCACAACCGCCGTTCCCCTTCGGGAAGGGAACTTTAATGCTATGTGGAAAAACTTCCACTATGGGGATTTCGTTTAGAAAGCCAATCATCTAAAAGAGTATGTAAACGGGCCAATGAGTTGCCAATGAGTTGACAGCTTCAGCTTGCGCAGCTTGCTCGTTGCAATCAATTTGGCAATATAAGAACAGAAAGTGCAAAGCTAAGCATCCTTTTCGCTTCAGAGACTTCAAAAGCCTTCTTATAGAGTTATGGTTCCTCCAGCTGATTTTCTAGAGAAATCTTCCAGAGAGAGTGAACAAGAGCAATCTCCCGGTCCAGAGTATGTGACATGCCGCGCAGATGGTCGAGCTGGGTTTCTCCTTTGCCTGGCGTTCTTTGGGTCCGGTTCTTCAGAGCGGTTTGTATTGTTGCCAATTTCCTTAAAAAGCAACATGGTCATGGAGCACGTGTTTTTCAAGGCGTCGTGGTTTCCTGGGCACTTGGGCAGATCTGAGGGTTACAGTGGGAGTAAATCCGCCGCCCTTGGCCTGTAGACCTCTCACTCCTCCACTCATTTCATCCAAGCTTCAAATGAGAGAAGCCCTACGTCCTCGGCTAGCAGCCTTCTCACTTAATGACACTGTGGCTCCGATATCCACCGCTGCATCAGAGGATGGGCTGTCCTTTGGGAGCAAGCGCAGAGATGGATCTAGAAAAAGATATGATAACTGTGGTTTCCTAGGCTGCTTCGGCCTCAAGTCTGCTGCGTGTGCCCTGGGAAGGACCATGGCCACATTAGTGGTCCAGGAGTGCCACCTTGGGCTAATCCTGGCAAAAGATATGTGCAGTCAACAAAATTTGACTCCCCAATGTCCCAGGCTGGCCTGTTCGGCGACACATCGGTGCAGTCGAATACGATGGCCTGAGTCATCTATCAGGGATGTAAGACCGCTCCCCCCACCGAACCATCCACATCCACTGCTTGTCGCCAAGAGCGTTCATCTACAAGAGCTGATCTGCGCCTCCAGCCAAGCGGCAGCGTTGAGCACCTCGCAGGCAACAAGCGCTCATCCCCTTGCATTCATCCCCGGGATTGGTCTGCAGCAATAGACCTGAAGGACGCGTACATCTTGTCTCCATTCTTCCACACCACCGTCAGTTTCTTTGGTTTGTTTTTTAACCGATTCTTAACTACTCATAAACTCCTTATGCACGTCCAACTAGTGAGTTTACACTGAATAACAATAGAAAAGTGTTCTGTCAACATCAACATGAAGAGGAGTTCATAAGTAGTTAAGGATGAGTTAATAGTGATGTGCCCCTCCAAGTAAAGTCATGACATAACTATACATTAACAGCTCATGAGTTCATGTTGGTTACATTTAGCCTAAACTTAAATGTTAATTAATACATTAATTAACAACATGTACTAACAAGTAATTAAGGTAGTCGTTAT